GGGTAATTTATAAAGAGCAGAGGTTTATTTAGCTCACGGTTTTGGAGAGTTGAGGTTAAGAGGCCACATCTGGTAAGGGTCTGGTAGCTGGTGGGGACTCTACAGAGTCCTGCAGTGGTACGGGTCATCGCATGGCGAGAGAGTGATGGCATGTGTGTCTCCCTCTTACAGGATTCAGCCGGGAGGGCTGCACCTTGATGACTTTATCTAATCCTAATTACTGCACAAAGCTACGCTGCTTAATGCCATAGCTGGAGTCAGTTTCACCCCCAACACCATTACAGTGGCAGTTAGATTTCTAACACATGGACTTGGGGGGGGGCACACTCAAATGGTAGCAGAGGGGATGAGCACTATTGGGCAGGGGGTCTGGACATAGGTGGAAATGTGGGACCGGAGGTCAAGAGTTCACGCCAATAGCAGCCTCAGTGATGCAGAGATGAGCCGGCAGAGAGACAAGAGATCTCAGACAGAGCCAGGAAATCAAGGAGGGGTAAGAGGAGGACACAGCCTGCTAAAGGCCTGGGACTCCCCCCTCGGAGTCCCATCTGTCAGGCACTACGCTTCTCCCTCCACGCCAGTGGCCACTGAATTCTTCCTGTTACTCTGTCCCCTAGGGATTATTTGAAAATGCAGATCCCCAGGAGCTGTCATTCCCAGAGATTCCTCAGTCAGGAAAAGTGGGATTCTGCTTGAGCGGTCTGTGTTTTAGAAAGCCCTTGTGGGATTTTAATGCAAGTGGCCCAAAGGCCCCAGTTTGCTGTGTACTCCTGGCCCGTGTGGTCTCGCTGCCTCCTCTGGGTGAGCCGCCGCCCTACACTCATGACTCAACACTCTCCACTGCCCATTAACGCTCCTGGCCACGCTCCAGCCCCGTACACCCACCTGGCAACCGAGCATCCCTATCTGAATATCTCGCAGGGATCTTGAGCTCAACATGTTCGAAACTGAACTCATTTGCTCCCCACACCTGGTGCATGCAGAGTACAGCACACGTTCTCAGCCTAGCAATCGCGCTCCGGCGTCCTTCCAGACCACAGCCTCGGCCTCGCTCTGCGTGAGGAGCAATGTTCTGACTTACAAACCCCAGACGCACAGGTCTTTCTGTTTTATTTGCGGTTCCCTGCTAGAATTCAGTGCTGGGCACAGACCTGCCGTCTGCTACCCCCGGTGCACCCCGCGCCAGCTGTCCCTCGGTGCTACCTTTTGACCACATGCATCCTTTTTATTTATTTATTACTCTTTTTATTTCAGCTCATGGGACGGTGCTCCTTCCTCGGCGGGTTCCTTTGAACTCAAGCTCCTTAGCCGGGGCAGTGGCTTATTCCCGTGTGTGCTCCAGCCTCCGCGGCAGAATCGAGCACATGGTAGGCAGTTACGGTTCAAGAACTGAATTTCTTGGTGAGACAGAGAAGGAATGGGCGGAAGAGTTGAAAGAAACTTCGGAAGTCCGTGAGCAGGGGAGAGTGATTTCAGAATGACATGACTGTCGGCGCCTCAGTGAAGTCTGCGGAGACACCGAGCAGGGGGGCGTCGGGGAGGGGACTTGTTGTGGCACCTAAGAAGTCACCGACAAACTCGCAGCAGAGTCACTGCTGAGAGCTCGTTGCCATGAGGGTCACCCGCCTCCCCAGGGAGTGCCACCTAAGAGCAAGCTCTTTTTTTTTTGAGAGGATTTTTTGCTATAGGGTACATGCCAGAAAAACAGAGAGAGACAGACAGGCAGAACGCGAGAAATCACCCCCCTTCCTGGGGGAATGGCCACACCGCAATCCCTTCTCCTCCATTCTCCTCTCGGGATCTTGGGCACGCACACACACGTGCCTGGCGTGAATTCAAGCCACCGGGTCCGGGACTCAAACCACGGTCGACTACATGGGAGTCCAACGACATAGCCATTATGCTAACTGCTGGTCCCGGGGCAAGCTCTTTCATGTCGCTGGGAAGAAACCTTGCAGTTAAACTTGGCAGAGACCAGGAAGGCACCTGTCCGCCGATTAATCACTGAGTGAGGCTTAACAGGACCCATAGGCTTTTATTTTTAATAAAGAAATCTTTTATTTAACTTTATTTATCCATTTATTTATTTATTCCAATTTGACCAGACAGGGACAGCGTGAAAGAGACAGAGAGATAGAGAAAGTGAAAAAGCAAGATGCCAGGTCTGGGACCTGAACTGCAGTCGGCCATATGGGAGTCCAGCGCCCTTAACCACTATGCCACCTGCCGGCCCCAGGACCCACCAGCTTTTAAAAGAGCCCCTACACACAGCCTTCTTCCGCCCCCACGCCAAGCTTCTCTCTGCTCCATTCCTGCCTAGTTTGCCCAGGCTCAGCCTAGACAGCATGTCAGGCACACCAAGCTATTACCCATCTCCCCACCAGCACAGAAACTCCTCTGCGGGGCTGGCTTGCTTCTCGAAACTGCTTCTCATGCAAAATCCATTTCAATCTCCCATTCCTACAATCTCCAGCGAAATTGCCCTACCTTCTGTGTTTCTGCATTATAGCTGCTTCTTCATCCCCAGGCCGATTGCGTTTGAGGTGGGGCGAGGGGGGATAACTCCTTTCTGCTGAGTGCTGTTACGGCATCACCGTGCCTCCCCTGCACCCCCTGTTCTGGTATCTGATCATTTTTTCTTCTCAGAGCAGAGGCAGAGAGTACATGGCGTTTCCCTATTCCCCTGACTTGCCGGTGTAATTCTCCAAGACTGCCATTTCCACAATCAGATCCCTGCCGAGCCTCGCCCTGCCTTTGGCCCCCAAAGCCATAGCTTCTAGTGTTTTCATTTGAATGCAATGTCTACTGTTTCAAATTCTCAGACAGTGCCCTGTCTTGTCACTGGAGCTTTTAGGTAAGAAGTCCTTAGTCCTTAAACACTGCTCTGTTACAAAATGTATCATTGAAGAGGATCAAAGGTTTAAAGCAGAAATACAAAGTAATTTCTTTTTTTATTATTTCTTTATTCTATTAATTATTATTATTATTTATTGTTTTTTAACTTGACCAAAGAGACAGAGAGACAGAGTGAGAGAAGGGAAAAGTGAGAAAGCCAGGCCCAGGACTCAAACCATCATCAGCCACATGGGAGTCCAGAACCTTAACCATCACACCACCTGCTGGCCCTACAAAGTAATTTCTTAAAAATAACTAAAACAAAAATAGGTCTATATTACGACTCATTAAGAAGCAGAATGGGGCCAGCAGGTGGCACGGTGGTTAAGGGTGCTGGACTCCCACATGGCCGACCGCAGTTTGAGTACCAGACCTAGCAGCTTGCTTTCTGACTTTCTCTCTTTCTGTCCCTCTCTGGTCAAATGAAAAATAAATATATAAAGTTAGATGAAATAATTCTTTAAAAAAAAAAAACAATTATAGGAAAAGAAAGAAGAGGGAGAAGAAAAAGAGAATGTGTGGAAAAGATAGAAGGATCCAGAGAAAAAGGACATGAGCCCCCACACCAGCAGAGAAAGGTAAAGACGGAGCCCCACGCCCACACGAGTATTCCCCAGAGCGTAGCACCTCCACCTTGCGGCCTTGCACACGCTGTCATGTGCATTTTCACATCCATAGGCAAGAGTGAGGAAAGCCCCTTCGGGATGTGCCCTGTGAGCCCAGGACACTCTACACAAGGCCCGAGCTTTCTCACGTGTCCTCTACTCTGCCCGAGAAAGGTCAGACTTGGCCGCGTGACAGAAACTCAGCTAAGAAGAGGTAAGTGGCAGGGGTGACACGAGTCCTTCCCAGCCTTCTTGCCTTTATCTTTGTTTCTCCAGCACCCTGAAGCAAAACAGTCTCTTGGCCACCCAGAGTTCCACGTACTGTAGAACTCTGACTCGATAAAGCGAGTTAATGTTTGACTTCTTGGAACACTAGGCGCTGATGTGTTTATTAAATGAGTCAAGTACACGCATGCTATCTCTACCCAAACCGACAGCTCCGGGCCCTCACTGTGGCAGCCCTGTACCTGGCCGTGCTCTCTGCCTACAATGCCCTCTAGTGCCCTCTTCTGGCCTGCCCATCACTCCCATCCTAGACCCTTCACCTCCCGACACACTGCATGCATTCTTTCAGGCAGAATGGAAGGAGCCTCCCAGTCCCTCCCCAGTTAGACTCCATCATCGTAAGTCACCACCGTTAACTCCTGCTGCCCAGGCCAATGGATGTCTTTTTGTTTCTGTCTTCTGTGACTTCCCAGCAGCACATGGCACTGGGTGGCCCAGTCTTCCCTTGACTGGTGTTCTCTCCCCTGGGAAGCTGAGTACCACCCTGTGCTGGTTGTCTCCTCTGCCCTCTCCTCCCAAGGAGAGTGCCTTTTCCTCTTTCCCGCCTCCCAAGGCCACAGCTCAGGCCCTTTTTCTCGCTCTCCTTTAGCGGCATTTCACCGCTAGTTTATGCCCTGGCCCTGCTTGGCTGCAGTCACTGGGACGGACGCAATCAGGCACACTCGGTCTGCCAATTATGTAAGAAAAAGCTAAATCGATGTCAACAGTACGTGTCATCCACGTGAGACCAGTACGTTAGCTCAGCGTCATGGTTTTCCTGAAGTCTGGCATTACGCAGGCACAGCTTCAGCCAAGGTGGTCTGCAGTGGAGGAGGTGGGTGGCTTCACCTTGTTCTCCTTTCTTGGGATTCCATTTCCTTGCCCAAGATGGTTCTCTTCCTATGGGGGAAGTCCACCCCCAAAGGTTTCAGTTGACGCAAGTGATCTTCATTTCAATTCGTGTTTTATGAGGGGCTTAAAGAATGTCTTTATTTTTTTTTCTTTAATTTTTGGTATGTTCATTCTCCAGAAAGAGACAGAGAGAGGGAAGGGAGGAAGCACCACCCCCACACCCCACGGGAAAGGGGCAAGCCACAATCCCTTCTCTTTCGTCTTCCTTCCTTTCAGAATTTTGGGCATGTATGCACACAGACCTGGCGTGTTTCTCCACCCACTGGGTCAGTACCTGAACCACGTGGTTGGCCGTGTGGGATCCAGCTGCCTTAACCACCAGGCCACGAAGCCAGCTCACAACACTCGCAGCTAGACAGCAGCTGGGACAGTCGGAGGCAACTGCTAATCACTGATCAGGGCAGAGTCCAGGGCAGCCAAACAAGGGTGCTTTTGGAAGCCGACGGGAGGGCAAGGCAAAACCCAGTGGGGCCGATCACAGGGAGGTGTCTGAAATAGTAACAACCACCTTTCATTGAACCCCAACTATGGACCAGCGCGCGATACAAACTCTCTCATCTAGCCCCACCTCAGGAGCTGCGGAGAGGACTGTGAGTTTGTGTGAGTTCTTAGTGTTATGCTAGTCACAGGTGAGTGTGCAAGAAACGACAGCCACCGTCCATTCTTAATTACCGGTGCGGTACCTAACAGACATAGGCCAGGCGGTGTGCGGCGGCTGAGAAACAATGCCGGGCAAGAGGAGCACGGTTTCTGCCCTCACCAAGCTTCCAAGCCAGAAGGGTACTGTCCAACGTGGTGGCCACTAGCCAGGTGTGGCTATGAGTGTTAAAGTGGATGAAAACATAAAGTGAAGTTCAGTTAGTCACGTCGGCCACCTCTTGTGTTTAACAGCCATAGGGGCTTCTAAGACATCGGTGCAGAACATCCTGCTGACCAGTACTGGCCAGGGGCAGAGAGGTCACAGGTAATCATATACCTGCATCACGAAGGCTGTGGGAGAATTCACAGTGCAGTCGTACTATTGTCTTCTCGTTATCCTCGCGAGGTGGAAACCGAGGCTCAGAGATCAAGCCATCTGACCGGTCGCACAGCTGCTGAGTGGAGGAGCTGGGATTCGATCCCAGGTCTGTCCACTGCCATGCTGCCCCTGGCACAGAGAGAATCTGGTTAAACAGAGAAGATGGAGAAGGTGGGAAAGTGGCAGCGTGGGCACAGATACAAAGGCACGGATGGGCAAGGCTGGCAGAGGACCTCGAGGAAACCAGTCCGGCTGGAGAGGCAGTGATTGCTGAACTCATCGGAAAGGTAAGTTGAGACCTGCCTGCCTTGAGTAAAAGCCAAGGAGCTAGATAATGTAGCCCAGCTGCAGAAACTGCGTGGAAGTGGGTAAGCAGAAGCATGGCATAGTCAGAGCACGTGCTGTGACCATGGGGCAGGGCCAGAGCGAGGGGGGCCAGCTAAGGATTGCAGGGAGCGTAGAGAACAGGGAATGAGTGACTCGTGCCAAGAGTGGGAGCTCCAGGGCAGTCCTAAGAATCGATCCTGTGTGATATTGGGCAGGAGACTCTCTCTCTGGGTCTCATTTCTTCAACTCTAAAAAGGCAGGGCTGGCCTAGATGACCTCTGAGGTCTCCTCTAGCAACGGTAGTCGGGGATTCTGCAAATGCAGGGGGTCAGTCTAAGAGAGCTGGAAGTGCAGTATTGACTGTGGAGACGGGAGGATGGGGACCCCAGAGAGCATCCTGAGATGAAGGGGGACGATGTGCCCTGACAAAACACCTTGGGGGAAGCGTGCAAAAGGGCGCGTCCTTTTTAAAAACATTTGTGTGTGTGTGTGAGTGTGTGTGGTGGGAAGTGGGAGAGGGTATGCAGGTTGGGGAGATAAGAAATAGTGAAAAAAAATCATGACTTTGTTTTTAAAGGAAGTTGTATGGTGGGAGAGATGGTTGCTATACACCCCCAGAAGACAGCCTTTGACCTTCTGACCCGACCCACAGTAAGGAAACGCTTGGCCTCAGGGTCCACTGTGCTTGTCCAGCGTAGATGGCCGAACACAAGGTTTGTGGAACAGCGGGTGCCTTTCCTACGGGCAATGGCATCTCCTATGTTCTATGGGGCTCTGTCTCATTGGTTTAAGAGCTGGTTGCCATCCACCGGATTTATTCGATGCTCTGTTCATGTGTCACGCCCCACGGTTTCCATAACGCTGCGGAAGAGGAAACGCAACAAGTCTTCCTAACTTGGAGCTGATGGCGGGGCATCCCATCCAGACCTGCACGAGGGGCTGGAAGAGTCTGGAGCCGGGGACTTTGCAGAAGACTGGGCTGAGTCCTGGATGGAGAGGCTGGGGAGGCAGGGCCTGGGAAGGGGACCGTGTGAACCTCCCATTCGGGAGGAGGAGGAGGCCCCCACCCTCTGCCCCCAGGGCAGTGTAGACGCCAGGAGGCGAAAATCAGGGTGGCCTGGAAACTGGGGTCCCACTGTAATTCCGCGACCCCGCCCCCCAGCCCGGGCTGGTTTTTGAGGCGTGTGCGGAATGGCTCCGGGATCTCTGACCTCGCTCGGGTCTGGGAGGCTCCTCTACTCGCTCACCCTCCGGGGAGGGCCGGCGCCCACGCCTTCATTCATTCATTCCACTCCCATCTCCGCGAGCGCCAACCCGCTGCGAGCTGGGCGCGACACTTGGCCAGCCGAGTGCTCGCTTCCTCGTCGAGTCCCCTCCCCGCCCGGCACGCGCGCGCACACTCACTCACACGCACACACACACGCACGCACACACAAAGTTCTAGTCGCCACCTCTGCCGGCCGGGGCTCCGG